CTGCTGATCCCCAGGGGATCCCGAAGGCTCCACGTCGGATCCCAACAGGATCCAGGTTGGATCCCCAGGGGATCCCTGGGGCTGGGCCGCGGATCCACAGAGAGTCTCGGGCGCCAGCGCGCGCAGGGCAATGGGAGTGGCCCTCGAAGAAGAGGGAGACCACCCCAATAGACCCGCGCCGCCTCTTCCGCGGGGGGGGGTGTCGGCAAGGGGAAGGCGGAATGAAGAGTCACCGATGCGAGGCGGGGATTTCACCATATCCGCCGCCTGGCACAGCGCTGTGGGGGATCACAGCATCATGGCATATGTAGGGATGCAACGCTGTGAGATGGGGATCACAGCAAGGCACTGTAGAAATGCAACACTCTCAGATGTCACGCTGTGAGATAGGGATCACAGCGTGGCATCCGTAGAAATGCAACCGTATGAGATGCCACGGTGTGAGATGCGGACCACAGCATGTCATACGTCGGGGTGCCACGCTCTGAGATGTCACTGTGTGAGATGGGGACCACAGCATCGCATCTGTAGGGATGCCGCGCTGCGGAAATGCCACCACGCTGTGGGGACGCCACCACAGCGTGGTATCTGTAGGCATGCCGCGCTGCGGGGATGGCACCACGCGGTGGGAACGCCACCACAGCGTGGCATTAGTAGGGGTGCCGCGCTGCGAAGATGCTACCACGCTGCGGGGATGCCACCACTGCGTGGCATCCGTAGGGATGCCGCACTGCGGGGATGCCACTCGTTGGGAATTTCACCACTGCAACGCTGTGAGATGCCACGCTATGGGGCGCCACAGCGTGGCATGTTTATAGATGCCACACTTTGAGATGCCACGCGAACGTAGAGATGCCACACTGTGAGATGCCACACTGTGGCCTTTCGCACGGATAAGCCATACCAGTCACACGGTTCTGCGAGACCGATCGCACGGTTTGGAACTATCCTCTCGTCATCATCGTTGTCGTCACCATCGCCACTAAAGACAAACATCTTCATCAATGTACACATCTGGACACTGCTGATCGTCCTGATCCTCTCCCTCCGCCTCCAAGGCCTTGCCTTCACATCCGCCTCCGCGTCCCTCCCCGTTCTCCTCCTAGAGAACTTCCTCCTCCTTCCCTCCTTCGCATCCACCTCCGCGTCCCTCCTTCTCGTCCTCCTCCTGGCAAACTTCCTCCTCCCTCTCCTCCTCCTCCTCCTTCTCCGCTCGCGCGCGAAGGGATGCGCGCGCGTGGCCTCCGCCGTCGGCCCCGTCGGCCTCGCCGGCCTCGTCGGAGCCGTTGGTGTCGCCGGCCTCGGCGGCTTTCTTGGAGGCGCTGGAGTCGCCGGCATCGTCGGCGACGGCGACGGGCGGCTCACCGAGACCACTTTCCTGCAGGCCACTGGGGCGGCCACACTGCAGGAACTCCGTCCTCGTTTTCTGGGCCTCGCCCCCTGCTCCCTCTCTCCCTCCCCATCCCTCCGCTCCTCTTCTTCCCCGCCCCTCCACCCTCCACCGCTTCCCCTCCTCCCCCAGCTGCTCCCCTCATGCCTCCGCGCATCCCCTCCAGCCTTCATCTTCCCTCTCCTCTCAACTCCCATCCCCCCCCCCTCCGCTCCCCTTCCCTTCCCAACGTGCTCCCCATTCCCTCGCCCCCGCCCTCTGTCCCTCCCGCCGCGCGCCCGCGCAAGCTGGCGCGGGGCCAGGCTTGGCTGTGGCCTCGCCTCTGCCTACACTGCCTCCTCCCGCAGCTGCCTCTGCCGCTGCCCCCTTCCCCCCCCCCCCTTCCACACCTGGTGTCCTGGGGCCATCTTCCTCCTCCTCTTCCTCCCCCTCCTCCTCCTCCCCCTGCTCCTCCTCCTCCTCCTCCTCTTCTTCCTCCTCCTCCTCCTCCTCTTCCTCCTGCTCCGTCTCCTCTCCTCACCGCTTGGAACAGGCCCACGCGCAACGATGATATCCTCCCCCCGGGATGGGCAGGGCAGGGCTAGGCAGGGCCCCCTCACCGCCAAGCCTCGGCGTGGACCTCGGCCTGGGGCTGGGCCTCCAAAGCTGGCGGGGTTGTCAACTGCGTCTTGGCCAGGGTTGGTCGACGCCGCGGCCTGGCGCTGGGCGAGGGTTCGCTGTGCCACCAGCGGTCATGCTACTCCCCGGCCACTCGCAAGGCTGAGGCACGCGCCCTGGAGGTGAGAGGCCGCAATGAGTTGGCCGGGGCGGCGCCCTGCATGCCTCACCCGCATGGCGCCGCGGCTTGCGTGGACCCGGCCATCCCCCCCAGACCAAGGGTGCCTGCCGCTGGTCCCACGGCTGGGCAACCAGCGGGGAAACGAGCGCAGCACGGGCCACCCACCTGTTGCTGGTGCTGCGGAGCGTGTCCTCAAGATCGGCTTCCACCTCGGGTGATGCGAATCGGGGCCAGCCCGAGAGCTCCTAAGACCGCCCTCAGGCCGTGCACCACGACCACCACTCGCCTCGCCGCATCCCGCCTTCTGTTTTCACCTCTCCCTCTGCCTTCGCCATCCCTTTACCCTTGCCCCCCGCCTTCTCATCCCCACCCCTCCCCATCCCATCCCATCCCCTCGCCTCCCTTCCCTTCCAGCCCTCCCTTCCTCCATTCCCCGCATCTCCTCCCCTCATTCCCCTCCCTTCCCCTCCCTCATTCCCCCATTCCCCTCCCATTCCCCTCCCTTCTCTTCCCGCATCCTCCCCTCCCTTCCTCCGTGCCGGCCGTTTGCGGGCCCCTGAGGTGTCCGGCCCGGGGCTGTTCATCGCGAACAGCTTCCAGCAGTCGTTGTCCTGCGAAGGCGGGCGGAGGGAGGAGCAGGCGGATGTGCGGCACTCCCGCGAGATAGGGGAAGGAGGGAGGGCGGGAGAGAGGGAGAGAGGAGCAGGAGGCGGAGGGGGATGAGGAGGAAGGAGGAGGAGGGCAAAGGGGGGAGAAGGAGCAGCAAGAGTGGAGAGGATAATCAGAAGGAGAAGCGCTCCGGGAGGGTGCTGTCTCGACACGCCGACATGGTTCTTCTGCACGCGCATGCGCGCATACAGAGACGCGCAGAGGTTACGCGATGATGCGAAGTATCCCACTGTGCAAGCGAGCTGGAAGATGAACAGCAGCAGGAGCATTGGCGGGATGAGCGAAAGGAGCCAAGAGCGCACGGTTTACATCTTTGCGCTGCCGCGCGAAATACCGACAAGTCCACAACGGAATGAAAACGATATCGTAGACTTGCCCTGAGCCATGGCGTCCTGGAAGTCGGCCTGCGTCTACTGATACTCGCGCTCTTCTTCATATCGGCCAGGAGCTTCTGCCGACAGCCTAAGCTTAGGTCGGGCATGTCCCCCTACAGGCGGATTTTGGGCGAAACCAGGAATACGCCAAAAATGCTCAAACATTGTCAAAACTAGTCTGGCGAAGGACCCAACCATATGCAGCTGTCAATACCGCAAGTATAAATATCATCTTCGCCCGCGCTCACTATGGTGCCACGAACCGTGTGAGGGCCGTGCCGACATGCGTGGCGGGGCACACAATGCGAGCGAAGACGATTGGTCTGTGTGCGAGAGACTGAAAGCGCGTGAGTCTGACTGTGGATGAATCTGCACGCGCATAAATGTCGACGCCCATGTCGGCGCGCCTCTCACGAGGATCGCGCCCGCTTCCTTCCCGTTCTTCTTCTCCCTCTTTGCCCGTGCACGCCCACGTCCAAGGCTGCGGGCGCGGCGCCGCACGAAGTCCCCGCGACGCGCGCTGGTCGCCCCGAAGGGGTCCCGGCGACGCGCGCGGGTCGTCCGCTGCGCGGAGCAGAGCGAGCGAGCAGGCTGGCTCCCGCCCGGGATGCGCGGCCCGAAAGCGGCCTCAACACGTCGACAACGACGAAAAACCTCCAGAAACCGAAAGTCGCCGCCATGCGAACTCCGTCACTGGGCCGCCATGCGAGTTCCGCCAAGGACACCTTCGGTGGAGCCCCCTTTATGGGGCCACGAAACGTGAGGGGTGTGCCAAAATGGAGCGGCGGCGCCATGCGGCCTGCGCCACTGGGACCCTAGATGGAGCTCCCTATGGGGCCACGAAACGTGTGAGGAGTGTGCCAAAATGGAGCGGCGGCGCCATGCGGGCTGCGCCACTGGGACCTTGGATGGAGCTCCCTATGGGGCCACGAAACGTGCAAGGGGTGTGCCAAAATGGGGCGGCGGCGCCATGCGGGCTGCGCCACTGGGACCCTAGATGGAGCTCCCTATGGGGCCACGAAACGTGTGAGGGGTGTGCCAACATGGGGCGGCGGCGCCATGCGGGCTGCGCCAGGGGTGTGCCAAAATGGGGCGGCGGCGTCATGCGGGCTGCGCCACTGGGACCTTAGGTGGAGCTCCCTGTGGGGCCACGAACGTGAAAGGGGCATGCCAAAATGGGGCGGCGGCGCCGTGCAGGCTGCGTCACTGGGACCTTATATGGAGCTCCCTACGGGGCCACGAAACGTGTGAGGTGTGTGCCAAGATGGAGCGGCGGCGCCGTGCGGGCTGCGCCACAAGGACCTTAGGTGGAACCCCCATATGGGGCCACGAAACGTGTGCGGGGTGTGCCGAAACAGAAACATGCGGAGAGCAAAGGCAAGGAGGGGGAGGAGGGAGGAGGAGGAGGAGGAGGAGGAGGAGGAGGAGGAGGAGAAGGAAGGAAGGAAGGAAGGAGGAGGAGGAAAACGCGGGGCACCGTCTCTTCAAAACGAGGCCTCAACACCACAGGATGGTTGGAAAAAATCGTCCTCATACTATTTTTGTTGACTATTTTTGAATGCTCCTCCTGTAGACACTGTAGAGGGACAGGCCCGACTTAAACTTCAGCTCGGGAACGCTTTGCCAGCGAAGCCCTCGCCCTGCGCCCCATTGGGAAGAGCAGACGTGCTCGAGGCGAGGTCGGGGTACTTACGGATGGGGTCTTCTCGGAGCCGTGCAGCATGTGGTCTTTCTGCGTGCCCATCTCACCCGCTGGTCCACCGAGCTGTCCACCAGCTCGTCGTGGAGCTTGCCGTATCCCGATCTGGTTACACGCTCCAGAGATACGGCCAGGTCTGGCAGCTCGTGCTTCATGGGCTTGACGGCACGGTAGGGTTCGCTGCAAGTGCACACGAAGTCGCATCGAACTTGCGCTCGGAAGCACGCATAACTTCAACGCGGTGGCGTCGACGAAACGGAGCCGCTCACCCCCCCCCCATACCCCAGCGGCGCTCAGGCAGCCAGCGAACCCCGTGGACTCCTCTTCCGCCCGGGGCGCCGGGACGGCGCGAGCCTCTCACAGAACAGAGAAGAGGAGGAGCGGGAGGAGGAACAGGATGAAGGATTTGGACGCCCGAAATGGGTACGGAAAGAATGGGCACTATGCCCAACAACAAATGTTGTCCCAAGCAAACAGCGGCCGCTGTTGGGCAGGCGGCCTTCTGTCTCGAACGGACACAGGCCGCGGCGGCGTGGACAGCGAATCCTGTTCAAAATGAACAGGAATTGTTGTTGGGCATCGTACCCATTCTTTCCGTGCCCATCTCGGGCGTCCAGAAAGGAGAAGGCGCGGCAGCGAGAGAGGCGAGAGGGAGGCAGCCCGGCCTCCCTCTCGCACTCGCCGCTGTACACCCAGCAGCCGCCCCGCCCGGGCCCCTCGCCGCTGCACTCCTGCCCGGGGCCCCGGGGCCGCCCGCGAGGGGCGGCGGCGCGAGCGGCGCGGGCGGCCGTCCGCCCCGCCCCCCCCGTGGCTGGTGCGCAGGTGGACGCGCCTGGGCGGCTGTGGCTGCCGAGCGACGCCCCAACACGACAACGTGGGATGTCCGCCCCTCCGTCCCTCCTTCCTCTCTGCCCCCCCCCCCCCCCAGCGCCGTCGTGAGCTACGACGCCAAGCTGCTCGAGAGGAGGACGCGAGGCGGAGGGCCCCGTGGAGGGGCAAGGTCTCCTTCGCCCAGGCCTTGCAGCCCTCCCCTCCCACCTTTTTCTTCTCCTAAAACTCCTGGGTAATGCCCCCGGGGTCGAGAAGCCTCTAGAGTGACCACGGCACCTCGCCCATGGCATCGTCCCACCACCACTCTGCCCCCTCCCCGTTCCCTGGTTCTCCCCAGCTCTTCCCGTGGCAACTGGCGCCTCTGATCAGGCTGGCCGGTAATGCCTTCCCTCCCTATCAGTACGGCATTCGCGGCGGCATCCAAACCTCTCGGCTACATTTCGACAGCGCGCTTGGCCTGCCCGTCATAGTGATACTGCAAGCCTGATTGCTCGCGTTTTGCGCCCGTGTATACCAGCTGCTGCCCTCCGAAGGCTCCCCCAAACTCTGCGAGAAAAACCTCTGTCTGGACAAAACTGCACTGCGCCCGCTATGCGCAAAGATACTGCTGGGCGGCTGGGACCTCTCTCCGCCCTCCCCTCCCCCTCTCCTGTCCCTGAGGGCGAGTACGGCGGCGCAGTCGCGGACGCTGTCATGGTCGATCTGGACCGGCAGTGGAAGAAGGTGCTTCCCAGTCTCCCAAAGGGGGAGCTGCTCGCTGCCGAGAAGCAAGCAAGTGAAGGCGCGCACGCGGCGGCTGGGATGCATGGAGAACTCTCAGGACCGAGATCTCTAGAGGCGCGAAGCGGAGGCTGCTACAGAGGCTCAGAAGGCCGCACAGGCCTGCAACGTGGAAGCAGTGAGCAAGCGCACGGAGAAGACGCAACAGCAAACTCAGGCCACGCGTCCTCCTCCGGGAGATGCCGCGTCGCGCGCAGAGGGCGGCGGCGGCGGCGTGCCGGCTGGGGGGGGGGGGGGCGATCAGGGCGGACAGGCGAAGCGCTTGATCCGGGTCGTCGTGCGTGCCCACTGGAACTGGGCCAGTTAGCATGTGTTCTCCCCAGGTTTCTGGAGTGCCTTCGGCTCCGCTGCGCTTCCGTGTGTGGACGGCGTGTTCGGACTCGTGAGGGGCACGAGCTCGACGTACGACGAATGGTGCCAGTGCTTGATGACTCGCGACGAGCTCGAGTACGAGGTCCACGAGGATGTCTCGGCGCCCGACGCGGGGCTCGCGCCGCCAGCGTCCGAGTCGCCCGTGTGGCGCTGGCGTCGCCACGCGGACCTGCTCACGGCCCGGTATTGCCTCTGGCGCAGAACGGCCATCATAGATGATGACAGGCATTTCGTGCGTTCGCAGCGCCTCGGCGAATGCATCGCAGACTTCGCCGCTCTCACGCCGGAGGTGCTGACGCAAGCAACGGCCGTGCTCGGCAAGGGAGCCGGCATGAAGGATGCCCTTGGCAGCTGCTCCTTGCCTGAACGTGAAGAGCACACCGTGCAGCATGGTGCTCAGCAACTCGCGCGTCGTCGGTTCCGACGCGCACCGGACCACGCTACGGCACATCAGTGCCGGCTACACCCAGCTCTTCGGTCCGCCCCTGGTGTTCACGACGCCGAACATCGCGGAAACTCTGATCTTGATTGTGTCGTTGATGTACGACGGCGCCGACGTGCAGCGCTGGCGACTGCCGGCTGCTTGAGGAGGCCGCGTCCGACAGGCCCTCTTCGCAAGACATGCTTCGGCGGGTGGCCGCAGACCCGATGGCGCAGGCCACGGTGACGAACCTCGTGCAAGAATTGTTCCTGGAGCATGTCGTCGGCGTCATGCCGCTGCACGGGACCACGGGCGTTTCCGACGACGTGGCCGCCACGGGGGCGTGGGACGCGTTCGGTCTCGTCCGCGCGTGCGTCGGCCCCGTCGAGTCGCAGGGGTGCGGCGGCATTCATCGGCACATTGACTTGTGGTTCCTAGACCCGATGACTGGCGCTTTCCTCGCAAGGCTGCGCGCGCGGGGGACGTCAACGGCCTGGAGGAGCGCTGGTGGAAGTGGAGGGCGCATGTGCTCGCCAGGGTCGGCAGCGTGCAGTTCGACGCGGCGGAGGAGGTGGGCCGGCAGCAGGGCTTAAACGAGCCAGAGCGGCTGCCGCCGCTTTCGCTCGGCCCGCAGGATCGTGCTCGCGCGTCCGTGGACTGGAGGCTACAGGAGGACGACGTCGCCGTGCATCTCAATGCCGTCGCAGGCGCCTCGCCTCGTCAGCTCATCAAGATGTGCAAGGACGCCTGGAAGGAGGGGCTCTGGGCCGTTCTGTCCAGCAGGGATAAGTCTATGAGAGTGCTTCGGCAGGAGGTTGCGACGATGGAAAAGATCAATCTGGAAGAGAACCAAAAAATTCTGCAGGACCAGCCTGGGCCGCAGAGTCCGCTCTGGCAGCGCCCTTTCGGGCCGCTGGCGGACAAAGAACCCGATCATCATGAGCAACGTGCTCAGTTCCCAGCGTGACACCCGGGGCATCTCACGGGTGCGCACTGACGTTGCAGCCGCACCGCGGCCATGCACTTTGCGGAGCGCCCAAATGCGGAGGCGCGCGCCTAGGCGCGGTGCTTCGCGCTGGACGCGAGCAAGTGCATCATCCAGAGCCATCTGCACAAGTGCAGGCCCACGTGCTGGAAGCTGACGAAGGACGACGTGCCTCAGCAATTCAAGGTGTGTCACCTTGGCTCTTACCACGAGTATGAGACTGCGGCGTACAGCCACCCAGCGAGGAAGCACCCAGCCAGCTGCTTCGTCCATCGACGCCTGCGCGAAGGAAAGGACCTGGTGTTGCCCGATGTGCCGACGGTCCGCCGCAGGAGGACGAGCGGAACCCGCCTGGCGGGCGCCTGATCCTAGACGACGTTCCACAGGGGGGGTACGGCCCTTCGCCGCACCGCTACAACCGGTACCACGGCAGAACGAGCCCTGTCGGCCAGGTGTGTCTGCGGTGCAACCTTCACGTCCAGTGTCTGGACCGCATGGTGCTCGGCCTGCCTGCCAGGTGACGATGGCGTCGGGGGCGCGCCCGCGGCCGACGGCGACTTGGTCGCGCCGCCGCCTACAGAGGTCGGCACCCGTGGAGGCTACGGGCGTGGGGGCGCTGGTTTGCGCCCAGATGAGCGCGACGGAGTGCGACGACAACACGCGGTAGGTTCCACTAGTTCAGGGGCGTCGGGCGCGACGCATTACTCATCTCCTCCCCCATAGGTCCCAAAGGTCACCTTTGCTGCTATTGGGGTGTTTTGCCGGGGTGGTGGAAGTCCAAGTCGGCTATGACACGCGCCCGCGGATAGAGAAAAATCAGCGCAATGGGAAGGGATGGGAGGGAGGGATAGGATGTCAGATGCGGCGCGAGCGCACCTAGCTTGTCCATCTACCACTCTCATTTCCCCGCCCCCTACTCCCATTTCCCCGCCCCCATTTCGCTCCTCTCCCTTCTGCTCCCCATCCCCGCCCAAAGCTCGGGGCTGGCGAAAATGAAGCCTGAGGCGAGCAAGAGGAATGCGAGCCCAGAATGGACCAAAAACTATCCTCCTGCAACTCCTCGTCACACATCCATCCTCCCCCATCTTGCATATATATCATACTCATCTTTCTCATCCTCATCCTGATCATCATCATCATCATCATCATCATCATCATCATCATCATCATCATCATCATCATCATCATCATCATCATCATCATCATCATCACCCATCATCATCACCACCATCACCACCATCACCATCATCATCAACATCATCATCATCATCATCCACATTACCACCATCACCACCATAATCAACAACCACCGATTGGTAAAATTCATCCTCGTCCTCGTCCTCCATAAGCGCGTCCACACCCTCATCACCATCACCAGCATCAGAATCAGTACCATCATCAACAGCATCACCGATATCGTAAGCATGACCACAATCATCATCATCACCATCAACGCCATCATAATATTCATCACCATAATTACAATCAACAGCAACATCATCATCATCATCATCATCATCATCATCAGCAGCAGCAGCAGCAGCAGCCTCACAAATATCATCGTCATCACCAGTATCATCACAAACAATATCAGCATATGCATCGATATCATCATCAGTGTCATCGTTATCGTCGTCGTCATCAACAGTCATTATCGTCAGCATCATCAGCATTCCGAGCGTGATCAGCATCATTAGGATCAGCATCTTCATCAGCATCATCACCATCATCACCATCATCCTCGTCTACATCTTCATCGGCATCATCACCATCATCAGTTTCAGTATCGTCATCAGGATGCCAATACACGTATCCTACCCATCGTCGCCATCATCATAACATAACCATCGTACTCACCAGCTCATCCGCATCATCAGCAGAACGAGACTGGCAGTCATCAACAATCTCGACATCGTCATCATCACCCCCTCAAAACATGCATCCTCCCTCGTCCTCCTGATGTTCTCCATCCCCCCCCGTCCTCACTACTTCAAGGAAACGGGAGGGAATGGGGAGAAGGGCATGAGCGATAGAACGAGTGCGCAGGAGCAGGGGAGGGATTCGTGAGGAAGGACGGAGGGGGAGAAAGATCGAAATGTGAGGGTGGAGGAAGGGTTGAGGAGGCTGGAACGAGGATGAACGAAATGCCGGGTCGCCAATATTGGAGACGCTGTGCAAGAAAGGGCTGGAGGTCCTTTACCTGACCCACCCACTAGGTGAGCGAGCCGGGCAGCAGCTCGAGGATTTTGGCGGCAAGAGATGCATGCCAACGACCAATGGAGGCCTGGACCTCGCGGACGGGGGCGAGAGAGGAAGAGCCCCAGAGCAGGGAGCAGCAGATAGCAGCTGAGCGACGGCTGGAGGACGCTCGAAGAGAAGGCGGCGCGCGGGCGCGCGCTCTTCGCGGCCGCCAGGGGCGCCCGCGACCGTGCAGGCGACGGACTCGGGGGCGCCAGGAGGAGGAGGAGGAGGAGGAGGAGGAGGAGGAGGAGGAGGAGGAGGAGGAGGGGGGACTGCTGACTGGGGAGGGTGGGGGGGGAGTATGCCTGCAGCACTGGGCGCGCCCCCTGTGCGTGCGGGTGCTCCCTCCCCCCCCTCTCCACGGGCCCCCCACGGCAGGGCTCGAGCGCCCGCCGAAGGAGCAGGGACTCCTCGGGCGGGCTGCGGCGTGCGAGGGGGGCTCTCGGGACGAGGGAGAGAGGCTGGCTCGGCCTCCTCCCGTTCGCTCCGAGGGCCTCCTTCTAGACCTCAACCCAGGCGCCTCTGCCGCGTGCTGATCCTCCTCATCGTCCTACCGCCTTATCCTCTTCCTCCGCCTCCTCCACCTCCTCCTGCTCCCCCTTCCCACCTCTCCAACAAGATGCACGCTAGAACAATCCGTGTGTTCGGGGCCGGCTCTCGATCCCAGCATTACCTAGTGAGGGCTTCGTACCGTGGGTCGTCTTGTTGTAAGGCCTGGGGCCCCAAACGGGTCTCCGCAGGCCAAAACTCAGCAGAATATGCCGCCCAGGTTTGCGAGCAAACCCGAGGCCTGGGCCTCGCTCCGCCTCGACCCCCCCCCCGCCCCTCCCTCTGCCACCCTCCCTGCGCCCGCGCTCCCTCGCGCACGACTTGGGCAGTGCGAGGCGGGGATTTATCCATATCCACCGCCTGGGAACCGACGTCCTGGTGCCCCAGCGGGCGGTGGACGTGGGTATATGTCGGCCCCCGGGGGCCCGAATATGTCCACATCCACCGCCTGCCGGGCCTCCGAAACCTGACCCTCCAGGCGGTGGCCATGAATAAATTCCCGCCTCGGAAGAGATGAGGGAGAAGAGGAAGAGGAGCGGGAGGGAGGAGGAAGAGAAGGAGAAGGCCGACGGGAAGAGAGAGATGAGACGGGGGAGGCGGAGATGTCCCCACCGGCCGTCCTCCTCGTCCTGGTAGTTGAACAGGACACACCCGGCTTCGCCCGCGCAGCGCTCGCCGCAGGCTTCCCTCGAGTTCTCCTGCCCACGCCCATGTCGCGACCTAGCGAAAGGGACGGGGGGGAGGAGGAGGAAGAGGAGGAGGAGGAGGAAGAGGAGGAGGAGGAGGAGGAGAGGGAGGGGGAGGGGGAAGAGGAGGAGGAGGAGGAGGAGGAGGGAGAAGAGGGGACTAGGAAGAGGACGAGGAGAAAAGGGCAAGGAGGGCGAAAAGGGGTGCCAGGACGCATCCTGCCCTTGTCCACCCTCTCTCATGGTCTCCTGCCTCAGAACAACATGCATGACATTCCGCCCTTCGCAGACGTCTGTTCAGCGTCGGTGGAACTGGCCAATGCCTTTGCAGAAACCACATCTGCCCAAACGGGGAAGGGGAGGCCAGAATAGGTACAGAAGTAGAGGTTGCTTCAAGATGATGATCCCCCCACTCCTCTTTCACCCCTCCCCCCCCTCCTCCTCCACCTGCTCCTCCTCCTCCTTCTCCTCCTCCTCCTCCTTCTCCCCCTCCTCCATCACCAAAAATAGCAACAATATCCTCATCATCAGCGGCAGCAGCATCGTCGTCATCACCGATCGTGATCGATCACCATCGACGTCGACCGTCATCGTCATCAATCACTTCAAAATAATCCCAACAGTGGCAAGAGTCAACCTCATTCCTCATGATCCCTCCTGGGCTTCGTCCTCCTTCACCAGCAGCAGCAGCCTCATCATCTTCATCATCAGCATCATCATCATCAGCAACAGCATCATCATCAGCATCAGCATCATCCTCATCAGCATCATCAGCATCAGCATCATCAGCATCATCAGCAGCAGCATCATCAGCATCATCATCCTCATCACCAACATCATCAGAATCATCATCGGCATCGTCATCCTCATCCTCATCATCATCATCATCAGCAGCAGCATCATCTCATCATCACACTCACCATCATCATCATCATCATCAGCAGCATCATCATCAGCATTCATGCTCATAATTCATCATCAACAGCATCATCATCAGTATCATCATCATCATCATCATCAGCAGCAGCAGCACCACCAGCAGCATCATCATCAACAGCACCATCATCAGCAGCATCATCATCAGCATCATCATCCGCATCATCATCAGCATCATCATCCTCATCATCATCAACATCCTCATCATCATCATTTATCATCATCATCATCAGCAGCATCATCATCATCAGCATCATCATCATCATCATCATCATCATCATCATCATCATCATCATCATCATCATCATCATCATCATCCTGCTCATCATCATGTTCATCGTCCTCCATTTCCCAAAGCCTCCTTCCTCTCTCTCTCTCTTTCTCTCACTCCTGGCGGCTCGCACAAGCGGATAGGGGGATGGTGGAAGGCTTCTTAGAAGGAGGCCGTTTCTAGGAAGCCTTCCCCCCTCCCCCTACTGCGCGTGGCTGACTGTCTCTCTTTCTCTCTCTTGCACGGTTTCCCCCGGGGCCGTAGGCGACCCGAGGAGGAGGAGGAGGAGGAGGAGGAGGAGGAGGAGGAGGAGGAGGAGGAGGACGGGTCGCCTGAGCCCTTCGGGGAAGCCCTCCACTCTCCATGGCGCAGTTGCCGGATCCCCTCCATGGTGTAGTTGCCCATCCTGATCTGACTCCAGTTGCTGCACCCTGAGCCCTGCGGTGCGAAGGCCGAGGCCCGCAGGCGGGGAAGCTGGCCGCGGGAAGGGGGGGGCAGGACGGGCAGGAGCAGCCCGGGGGTCCGAGAGAGAGAGGCAGGGGGAGGGAGAGAGGGAGGGAGAGAGAGAGAGAGAGAGAAGGAGAGAGAGAGAGAGTGAGAGGCACAGAGAGAGAGGGGGGCAGAGAGAGAGAGGGAGGGAGGAGGAAGGGGGAGGGCACGGGAGGGGGGAGGGGGGAGGGAAAATGGGGAAGGGGGAGGAGCGGGCAGGAGAGGGGAGGGGGGGGATGATGGGGGGAAGGGCGGGGAGGGGAAGGGAGAGTGGGCGGAGTTCAGAGGGGAGAACATGCAGGAGACGGAAGAGGGGGAGGGGAAAGGGAGGAGGGGGGGGCGAATCTTTCTCTGTCTAAGGACGGGCAAGGGGAATAGACTGTGAGCCGTACGGACGACGAGTACTGCAGTCAACAGTGGAAGCAAGATGTCAACAGCCAAGTGGGATGCACCGAAGCTAGCGGTACACATGTTGGCCGCGATCACACAAGAAATTACCTTCACGGTGTCACCACAAGCAGACAGCACTCGCACGGGTCCGCCACCAACAGTAACTCGCTCATGAGTTATCCTCTGCAATACGGCCCCTGCTGCCCTTGGCTGACCAACACTATGACAGGCCACCCACGAAAAGGCTACGCGTCCCACGGTAAAGAATGGAACACACCCGCTTAGGAGCAATATCGCGTGCGCGTTGCGATGAACATACGGGTAGCATGTAGCGGGAGGCCGAACAAGCCATCGCCTGAAGCATAAAACAGAGTGACTGGTTTGAACGGTGGCGGAGCGATTGCGACCAAGTGAACATAATGCAGGGATTGAACAGGGAGCGATGAAAACGAGGAACATCGGAGTGCACCGAAGACCACCACGCTGGCACCTCCGTCGCTACTACGGTCCAAGCAACCACCTCCTGCTGCACCTACCGACGCACGGTGCGGGCTGGCGGCTGGGGCATCCACGATGTTCAGTACCAGTCCATCTTGAGTGCACGCGGATGCAAGATGTCTCAAGCACACAATACCGAGAGGAGCCGTCGTCCAGCCATTGACCACCAGTTGCTCGAATGGAGGGTTTTTGCAGTGCGCCTTCTCTCCTCCCCCTGCCCCTCTGCTAAGTTCTTCCCTTCGGCATACGACGATCGAGGATCAAAGATTGGGTGGTGGGGCATGTTCGGGGCCCTCTGGAGACCTCCAGAGGTCTCCATGTGCCACTAAGGTCCTGCGAGGTAAGACCTCCAGGGGTGGGTCAGAATCTGGGGCGGCACTAAAAACACCAACTTCCTCGTTTTCCTCCTCCTCCTCCTCCTCCTCCTCGCCTTCCGTAGCCGTTTTGGCTCAAGCGAGCAAGGCGTCGGGAGGCCCCCCACGCTCGGTGGCGCGCGCCCTGCTGCGCGCAGGTGTGAGCGCATGCGGCCGATGGCGGATTCCGAGTCCGACAGCAAGCAGCGCTGGGCGGCAGCTTCGGCGCGGACGCTGGCGCGGCGGCGGCGCCGTGAGTGGCGTGCTGAGGTTGGCGTCTCGAGGGCGCAGGCGCTAGGACGGCGCGTCGACATGTTCAGGAAGTCGCTGGGGGCCCGCTGGGCAGTGGGCGACGCGATCGGGGGCCACGAGGCCTCCATCACGGCGGCGGCGAGCGCGACTAAACTCCTGGGATCAAGGCGTCGCTGCTCGAGGAGTTTCGCGGGCAGCTGCATGCCCCCGTGGTGGTGGAGGAGCTGGCAGTAGATCTGCTGCTTACAGGCCTCGGGGTGCACAGCGAAGGCGCTGAGGGTGATGCGGAGGCCTACTTGACGGAGGCCGACGGGAAGGAGCAGGAGTCAGCCGGGCTGCTGCAGCCGTTGGATCTCGTGCATGTGGACGGCTACGACATGGCCGTTGTGAACGTGAACGCGGGCATCTCCGAGGAAGGCGTGAACGGCATGAACGATGTGAAGGAGTCCGCCCTTGTGGGGCTCGCTGGGGAGCCGAACGACTTCCCCGAGGAGGCCGATGTGAATGAGCACGAGTCCGGCTGGCGGCTGGAGCCGTTAGACCTGGCCCGGCACAGAAACGGAAAGAGCGCTTCAGAAACAGAAACCGAAATTACTCACACCACCGTTCGTACGGGGAGCCTTGGCGTTGAGAGCTTGTTACGTCACCCCTCGCTCTTGAGAGCCTTGGTGTTCAGAGATTGTTGCGTTGCCGCCCGTTCCTGAGCCTTGGCTGGGCCTTAGTGTCAGGAACTTATTACGTCACCGCTCTCTGCTGGGAGCCTTGGTCTTATCAGCTTATTTACGTCACCGTTCGCTCTTGGGAGCCTTGGTGTGAAGAGCTTTTTGCGTTACCGAGCGCTCTTTATTTGGCGTATCGGGGCCTTCTTGGGAGTCCTATTGGGACCCTTTTGGAGCCCTTTTGGGGGCCTCTTGGGGGCCTCTTCGGGGCCTCTTCGGGCTTCTTGGGGGGTTCTTGGGGCCTCCTGGGATCTTCTTGGGGCGAAAGGCTAGCCTTTTCGGCTCGTGGTCCCCCTCCTGGGGCCGTCTTGGGGCCCTCTTGGGCCGTCTTGGGCGCGTCTTGGGCCGTCTTGGGGCCCTCTTGGGCCGTTTTGGATGCCTCTTGGGAGCCTCTTGGGCCGTCGTGGGGCGGTCTTGGGAGCCTCTTGGGCCGTCGTCAACGCCGTGAAAGCCGAAAAACCGCACATGCTAAAAATGCACGTTGTCCTACGGAAAACCGATGATTTGGGCCTCTTGGGGGCCTGTTGGGGCGCCTCTTGGGCGCCTCTTGGGGCATATTGGGGGCCTCTTGGGACGTCTTGAGGCTGTCTTGGGCGGTCTTGGGCTCTTCTGGGACGGAAAAGGGGAGAACCAGAAACACATGCAAAAACCCGAAGGGAAAACCCGAAAACGGCCATTAACACTCATTCCCCCGCCCTACCCCCCTCCCCTGGAACCCCTCCCTTTAGGGCTTCGCCCACACCAGAACGTCATCACTCGTACCTCGCTCTTTCCGTTACCTCGTGCACGTCGACGGCTACGACAAGGCCGTTGAAGACGAGATAGACTTCGACATGCCCGACCTTTTCAATGGAGATGTGGACCCTGGCGCTGACGAGGAGTTCCTCGATGAGCCCGAGGCGCCCCAGCAAGACGCAGAGGAGTTCTTTTTTTTTTGGTGGAGTGCACGTGGCCATGCGGAGGGCTGCGGCCGATTTCTTCAGTAGCTCAAGCATGATGACTGGCAGAGGCGCAAGGACTGGGGCAGCATGGGTTATTCCTTGGATTGGCGGTGGGTCGAATCACTTACCTTGAAAGGCGAGGCACAGATCGAGATCCTGAAGGCGGACTTCGCAAGGCTTTTAGGTACGCCGTGGCTTCATGGCTGTCAGGTCGCCCAGGTCCGTCGCTCGATTCGCCACCTCAAGCCTGCAAAAGATCTGGCGTCCAGAGCTGGGTGGCCGTAGTGTACAGGGACCCCGAGAGCGGCTTCCTCGCGCAGTGGACGGCGTGCGAGGGCGCCGCGAACGCGTGCGGCTGAGCGGGCCGTGCCGAGAGGGGCGTGCGAAGCCCTGCGGGGCTAAGCCGCGGTCCATCTCCCAATCTCTAGCCGTCGGCAGGGACGAGGCGGGGGATGGGCCGCGCACACAAGGGGTCCACGGCTTTTCCCCGTTGGAGCCTCTTCAGGAGCGGAGGCGCGGCGCGGCATGGGACCGCTGCGGGACCTCTCTCTCTCTCTCTCTCTCATCTTTCCCCTTATGGGCGTCCGATCCTCCTCCTCCTCTTCCTCCAAGTCCTCCTCCTCTTCCTCCTCACCCTCCTCTTCCTCCTCCTCCTCCTTCTCCTCCTCCTCCTCCTCCTGCTCTTCCTCCTCCTCCTCCTCTTCATCCTCCCCCACCCTCTCTCCCTCCCTCCCCTGGAGGCTCAGAAAGAAACCCGGAGCGAGGAGATGAAGGAAACTTCCTCGAGGCCTCCTGCCCTTGCCCCTCCCCTGCAGGCCCGGATCGAGGGAGTTTGGGGACCTTTGGGGGGAATCCCTTGCAAGGTATACGACGAGGGCGCGTTGCTCGCCCCGCCGGCGTCGGCCTGAGCTGGCGTGCGAGCGGGGCTCGGCGGACCGCCGAGGCAGTTCCTCCTCCTCCTCCTCCTCCTCCTCCTCCTCCTCCTCCTCCTCCTCCTCCTCCTCCTCCTCCTCCTCCTCCTCCTCCTCCTTCATTCATGTTCCTCACAAATAGCTCGTCCCTGTCGCACCGCGAGACGTGCCGGGAGGGCGGGCCGGGCGTTTCGCCCGAGCCTTCCTCACCACTTATGATTCTACAGCGTCAGATTTGAAACGGCTTCACGGACGGAGGGCGAGTCCTTTTCCAAATGCGGGTTTCGCCCCAGCGCCGCGCACACGCCTTATGGAAGTTCGCACAAGCGTCACGGATGGAGGGCGGGTTTTTTGAAATGTACTTCTCGCCTTCGCGCCGCGCACATTCCCCTTACAGGTGCGCAAGTCCTTCACGGATGGAGGACGGGTCCTTTTGAAGATGTAGCTCTCGCCCCGGCGCTGCGCACATCCGTTTCTAAAGTTCGCAACCGCCTCCCAGATAGAGGCCGGTTCGTTCTAAAATGTGGTCTCGCCTTGGCGCCACGCACATTCCTCTTCAAAATTCGCAACAGCTTCACGGACGGAGGCTGGGTCGCTTTCAACATGCGACTCTCGCCCCAGCGCCGCGCACACGCGTTGCAAAAATGCAAAAGCTGTAAGGATGGAGAACGGACCCTTTCAAAGGCTTTCGCCCCAGCGCCGCGCACATTCGCCTTAGTCCTACAAGTTTGCAGCAGTTGCACGGATGGAGGGCGGCTTCTTTTAAAAATGTAGCTCTCGCCACAGCGCCGCGCACATTCGCCAATGTGGCCCTCGCTTGAGCGCCACGCACATTCGTCTTAAAAGTTTCAACCGTTTCACTGATAGAGGGCGGGTTCTTTTTGAGATGAGGTTCTCGCCCCAGCGCCGCGCACATTCCTCTTCAAAGTTGGCAACAGCTTCACGGATGGAGGGCGAGTCCTTTTCAAAATGTGGCTCTCGCCGTGGCGCAGCGCACATTCCTCTTACAAGATCGCAAGTCTTTCACGGATGGGGGGCGGATCCTTTTCAAAATGTTGTTCTTGTCTTAGCGCTGCGCACATCCGTTTCTAAAGCTTGCGTGAGCTTCATGAAAATGTGGCTCTCGTCCCAACCCCACGCACACATGGAGGGCGGGTCCTTTTTCAAATGCAGTTCCCGCCTCAGCACCGCGCACATTCGCTTGATCGTCAAGGCGCAACAGTCACGTTGATTCGCTCTGTCCAAGTCCCATGGATGGTGTTCTGGCACGATGCAGGACCACTCGGACAGAACAGTAAAGTTGATTCGTGGCGTTGAAGTCCAAGGAGTGGTACTTTGGCTCAGTTGGGGGCTCCCACACCGTTGTCTTCCAACGCGGCATTTCCAGCAGTGAAAATGAAATTCTCACAGGGACCTATGAAGAGGGAACTTCGAGGAAGGGTTCATTGCAACATCTTCGATGCACCTTGGGTTTACAATGGTCCTCCTCCCCCCTCCTCCTCCTCTTTTTCCTCCTCCTCCTCCTCCTCGCGGCGGCCGCGTGTCTGACGCACGCCCGAAGATCTTTGAATGGGAGCCGGCAGACACCCCCACCGCCCTTCGAAGAGGGCGGCTCCGCCGGGAGTGGCCGGCTGTCTGAGACAGCGGTCACTCCCAGGGAGGGGGTGTCTGCCGGCCGGGGTCTTTAACCTCCTCCTCCTCCTCCTCCTCCTCCTCCTCCTCCTCCTCCTGCTCCTCCTCCTCCTCCTCCTCCTCCTCTGCACGAGCCGCTGCACCCTCGGGGAGTCCGATCGAGCGAGAAGAAGGGCACTCCCTCCCCTCCTCGCTCTCGAGCGCTCCCCCCTCCGAGCCTTCAGGACCCACCTCGCGGGCTCGTCCCTGGCGGCGGCGGCGGCGGCGGCGGTGCAAGCGGGGGGGTCGCGCAGGGGCGCGGGCGAATGGCGAGGAGGAAGAGGGCGAGCGCCGCGCACGCTGGTGGCATCATGGGGGGGAGGAGGAAGGAGGAGGAAGCTGAGGAGGAGGAGGAGGCGGAGGAGGAGGAGAGGAGAGGGAGGAGGAGGAGGAGGAGGAGGAGGAAGGAAGATGAGGAGGAGGAAGGAGGAGGAGGAAGATGAGGAGGAGGAGGAGGAGGAGGAGGAGGAGGCGGAGGGGGAGGAGAGGAGAGGGAGGAGGGGGAGGGGAGGAGAAGAAGGACCAGAACCCAAGATGCACCAGCGGTGCTGCAACGCACCTTCCCGCCCCGAGAGTCCGCTCGCCGTTCGTCCACACAGCAAGCAATCGATATCTCACTGCGCGAGGCGCCCTTCTTAAGGAAGACGGGCGCCCCGGGGTCCCGCAGTTGGGCGGGCGCTCCTTCGAGCAGTGACGAATAGGACATGGGACGCACAGGGACTTACTAAAACTATATGTCCTCATTGGAGGCGCGCGTCCGACCCGAACATATAGTATACCCATCTTGTTGTATGTCGTTTCCCGAGCGGTGTGGCCAGAAAGCGCCCGCCACGACGCATATACTATAAGATTTCTCGGTGCGCGCGTCGCCCCTAGGGGGGCGACGCACATATAGTATAAGTATGTTGGGGTGGCGCCGAGACAGGGTGAGGAGCCCCAGTGGCCCTTCGACGTTCACAAGATGCCCCAAGGGGCCCCAGGGAGCTCACAAGAAGCTCGCAAAAGCGCCCACCACTGAGACCCCCTGGGATACGAAAACTCGTTGAAAGACGATGCAACGACAACCATGCACTTTGATCTGGAGGCCTTTCGGCTTCAGATCACCAAGGAGCAGACCAGATCGAGGTTCAGACCCACGCGAGGTCACACCGCGCGCTGAACATGCGCGGGTCTTAAACTCAATGTCCTTCACTGTGCGCTGCTGCGCTGACACTGCGGCGGGGTTCTCCGCAGGCAGCTGGGCAAAACTCAAATACATGCCCAGCGACTGTCCCGCTTTGAACATGCAACGCCACCCATTGATGTAACCGTTGAACACGTTGAACATCAGGATGGAGCCCAACGCTTAACAGAAACCGCCCTCCGTCCGTGTAGCTGCTGTACGGATTGAAACTGTGTGGAAATTGTTATCCGGAACTCTCGGGCAAGAGCCACGTGCTGAACAGCAACAGCCCCTCAGCCATGCCACTGCGAGAACCCCCTGCTGCAAACAGCTCGCCTTCCGTCCGTGCAGCTCGTGGGCGCTCTCTACGACGAGCGCGCGCGGCGCCGGTGAGAAAACCCGTGCTTTGAAACACCCGCCATCCAGCCACGTTCCATGTTTGACCGCTTGGGGGGAATCTTGGATGCCTGTGGGGGCGTCTTGAGAGGAGGAGGAGGAGGAGGAGGAGGAGGAGGAGGAGGAGGAGGAGGAGGAGGAGGAGGAGGGGGAGGGGGAGGAGGAGGAGGGGAGGAGGAGGGGGAGGGGGAGGGGGAGGGGGGAGGGGGGGGGGGGGGGGGGAGGGGGAGGGCGAGGGCGACTGCGCGTGACGCCGAGGCGAGAGCCCCGATGCAAGCCTGCGCCCCTCGTGTGTGCACGCTGGTGGGGGTGGCGCTTCAAAGATGCGAGAAATGCTCGGAGGAGACGCCCCGCACGCCCTGATGGCACATCTGGTGGGGCGGCAGGAGAGAGGGAGGAAGAGAAGCAGAAGGAGAGGGAGGAAGAGAAGCAGAAGGAGAGGGAGGACGAGAAGCAGAAGGAGAGGGAGGAAGAGAAGCAGAAGGAGAGGGACGAGGAGGAGGAGGAGGGAGGAGGAGGAGGACAAACAAAAAGAGGAGGAAGACGAGGAGAGGGAGATGACGGAGTAAAAGATGGAAACGAAAGGATGTGGGAGGAGGAGGAGGAGGAGGAGATGAGAAGGACACGTCGGAAGGGAGCGCGGGGCCTTCCGAGAGGATCCTCTTGCACACCTGCAGGGGGTGACGTCCCTGCAGGAGGCCCGCGGCAGGCCCCGTCCTGCTGGCACTGCAGGGAGGGGACGACCGAACCATCTTCAGATGACGAATCCAAGCGCCATTCGATGACAGCGTCGGAGGTGGGCAGATGGCGGCAGAGCCTCCGAGCGAGCATGGGACGGACCGAGAGGCGGGGGGCGCACCCCAACGCGCGCCCGGCGCGACGCTGCAGCCGCGCCTCGTCGGAAACAGGCAGGCGGGGCACCGACGACAGGGCGTCGAAATGGTCACCAACGGACTTACTCATCCAAGTGAAGGCACCAAGGGTGCCAAACTATGTTGGGACACGCCCTACACCGTCTCCCATGAACCATGGCGTCAAGGCGGGCAGAGGCAGCCCGGCAATCGGCACCGGCCGAGAGCACCTCGACGCATTGGCAGCCCGACGAGCCCCATCTCCAAAAATCCGGCCATCGGCGCGTCCTGGCAAAACTTTGGGGGGGAGGTGTTCCAGGGTAGAACTGGCCCGCGCAAGTGAGAGTGGAGCAGACGCGGGTATTGTACCTCGCCACTGACGGGGCCCAGGGACACACAAATAAATGCACACAAATAAAAAGATCCCCCCTATTTTGCCACATGTTCTGGGGTTTTGTCTTCCCCACCACTTCCCATATGTTCCCCTATTTTCTGGGGAGTCGACGATTCATTGTGTCTGTGTGTTTCCTTCCCTCCTGAGCCACATCCTTCACGAGTCATGGGCGCAGAGCCTTGGCTCCCACCGGCCCTCTTTGGGCCGTCTTGCGGCGCTCTTGGGGGCCTCCTGGGGGCCCTCTCGGGGGCCTCTTTGGGGGGCCCTCTTGGGGCCCTCTTGGGGCCGTCTTGTCGCCGTCGTCGTCGTCGTGGTGTGTCGTCGTCTGTCGTCGTCGTCGTCGTCGTCGTCGTTGTCGTCGTCGTTGTCGTCCGCGCGGTTTGCTGGCTGAGGCCCCTCTTGGGGCCGTCTTGGGGCCCTCTTGGGCCGCTATGGGCCCCTCTGGGGACGCCTTGGGGCCCCCTTGAACCGTTTTCGACCCCCCTTCGGGGGGCCTCCTGGGCCGCCTTGCCCCCGGGGGCCCTGTCGAGGGCCCTCTGGAACCGCCTCGAGGACATCTCGGGTTCTCTTGGGGCTGTCTTGGTACCCCCTTGGGCCGTCGCGGGGGCCCTCTTGGGACGCCTTGGGGCCCGTGGGCCGCTTCACTCCAAAAAAATATGAGGGAACGGGGCATGGGAGCCGCCCAGGGGCCGCTTCACTCGAAAAAACGCGAGGGAAGCGGCCCCCCGGGCGGCCATTACGCCCATGCCCGCCCCGCGCGCCTCGCCCCTCCCCTGGACCCCTCCCTAGAGGGCTTCGCCCCAACTCAACGCACATCACTCGTGCCTCGCTCTTTCCGTCACCTGCTTTGGCATGGGTAAAGCGCCGTGCATGCTGTGAGGGCGCGAGGTCGCTGGCTTAGTGCCGAAATTTGGAGATACAGTCGAGGCGTTGAACTAAGGAACCCTAAATCAGGAACGAGGCCCCTCTTTCCTACCAGTTAAAATTCGATTTCGTATCGAAAACCTAAGGAAAATCTAAGGCAAGCTGCGAAACAATTAAGGAACACGGAGCCCCTCCCCAGCGAAAAGGGTTCCTTCTTCAGGGCCCCGACTGTATCAGATCTGGCGCCCGGGCTGCTTTCTCACGACTAACGGATCGCAACGCTACGCGCGCTTTCCATCATCTGACCGTCGGGCTGCCTGCACCCCCAAACCACCCCTTTTTGATTTCTCCCCGCGAACGGATCGCGACGCTACGCGCGCTTTCCGTCATCCGCCGCCCCCTGTCGATTCATCACAGGGGTGCCTGGCGTGCTAGATGCTACCGCTTTGGTTTTGGTTACGTTCCGAAAGAACTCCCCCTAACCTCCTCCATCTCTTCTTCCTTTCCCCTCCCTCTCCTCATCCTCGTCTGCCTTCTCCAAGTGTTCTCCGAAGGCTGTCCAAACCGATTCGAGGCCTCCTCCTCCTTCCATATTTTACCTCCCTCTCCTACTCTTCCTCTTCCTCTCCCAAGTGTTCCCCGAAGGGTTTCAAAACCGACTCGGGGAACACATGGTCCGATAGCTTGGCCAAGCTCTAACCCAACTTTCGGCCACACAGGAGCGTCCAGAAAGGCAGGGGGCGGCGGTGATTCACCGTAGGCGTCTTCTACAATTATCTGAGCCAGCGTGGACCCCAGACAGTGAGAACCCCTCCTCCTCCTACTCCTCCTCCTCCTCCTCATCATCATCATCATCATCATCATCATCAGCAGCAGCAGCATCGACAACATCATCATCCTCTTCCTCATTCTCATAATCAGCATCATCAACACCATCATCAGCAGCAGCATCAGCAGCATCAGCATCAGCATCAGCATCAGCATCAGCAGCATCATCAGCAGCATCGTCATTAGCATCAGCATCCTCATCATCATCAGCATCAGCATCAGCATCATCATCATCATCATCATCATCATCATCAGCAGCATCATCATAAGCATCAGCATCATCATCATCAGCAGCATCAGCATCGTCGTCATCATCATGCTCCTCCTCCTCCTCCTCCTCCTCCTCCTCCTTCCACTCTTCCCCAAAACGGAGCGGGTGTCCGACGCCGGGGCCTGCTCTGAGGCCTGTTAAGCAGAAAGTCGTGCCAGCAGGCGTTCGCCTCGGGCTTGCACTGTCCTGACAGAAGGCACGGGGGCCGGGACGTGAGGAGGAGGGGGAGCAGGAGGAGGAGGAGGAGCAAGGAGGAGGGGAAGAAGGGAAAAGGGAAGAGGGACTAGGGAAAAGGAACCAAGGGCGAGGAGCGATGGATGAGAGACGAGGGGCGTGGGACAAGGGAAGGGAGAGAGGGGGAGGGAGGATGGACCAGAGAGGAACGCGGAGAGAGAAGGGGGAGGAACAGGGGAAGTGAGAAGAGAGAGGGAGAGGGAGGGAGGGAGGAGGGGGGAGGGAGGTGGACGGTGCGGAGGTAGGAGAAGGGAGACTGGAGAAGTGAGTAGACGCCACCCCAGCAGAGCACCCTCAGAGCAGCAAAGGTGCAGAGGCGGGCCGAGGAGCAGGTCAGCGAGAAAAAAACGTCCGTGCCCGAACACTCCTGAAGACTCCTGGGCGTGCCAAGGGTGAGAGCACGGCCACGTGCGCCGCAGTGCGTTGTTCCCTCCCCCCCCCGACAAAAAAAGAGTGCTTGCACTTGGGGGTCCTCGCGTTGGAGCTTGCTTTGCGTTGCTCTGCATCGTTTTGCATCGTTTGCATAGCTCTGCAGTGCTCTGCATTGCTGTGCATTGCTTTGCATCTCGTTGCAATGCTTCGCATTGCTTTGGATTGCTTTGTCGTGATGTGCATATGCAGTTGCGTGTGTTGCGTTGCATTGTTGCGCGTTGCATTGCAATGCTGTGCATTGCATCGCATTGCTTTGCATTGCTCTGCATTGCGTTGCATTGCGTTCCGTTGCTTTGCATTGCTTTGTTCCCCAATCAGAGCTTGCCTCTGTAGGGGTCCTAGCGGATTCATATGGTTAGGTTAGGTTTGCCGCCGATTTTCGGTGCACGCCGGGTGCCCGGGTGCCCAGGGGGGCCTGGGTGCCCGGGTGCCCGGGTGCCCGGGCGTGCCCGGGGGTGCCCGGAGGTGCCCAGGGGTGCCCTGGTGCTCTATCGCCCTATAGCCCTATAGCCCTATAGCCATATAGACCTATAGCCCAATAGCCCTATAGCCCTATGGCCCTATAGCCCAATAGCCCCATGGCCCTATGGCCCTATAGCCCATATATCCCTATAGCCCTATAGACCTATAGCTCTATAGCCCTGTAGCCCTATAGCCCTATAGCCCTATCGCCCATATATCCCCAGTGCCCTATAGCCTCATAGCCCTATAGCCCTGTAGGCCTACAGCCCTATAGCCCTGTACCTATAGCCCTATAGTCCTGTAACCCCATAGCCCTATAGCCCCAAAGCCCTACAGCCTACTAGCCCTCTGACCCTATAGCTTAGCCCTATTGTCCTATGGCCCTACAGCCCTATAGCCCTATAGCCCCATAGCCCCATAGCCCCAAATGGCCTAGTAAACCTAATAGACCTCATGCAACATCAAAAAAGACTCTGATTGGCGTTTTTCTCTGGTATCATGTTGATGTGCATTGCTTCGCATGGCCTTGCATCGCGTTGCATGGCTTTGTATTGGTGTTGCACTGCGTTGGACTGCGCTGCATTGCGTTACATCGCGCTGCGAGGCATTGCTGTGCACTGCATTGCTTTGCACTGCTGTGCATTGCTTTGCATTGCCTTGCATTAATTTGCATCGCTTTGCATCGCTGTGCATCGCTCTGTCGTGCTTTGCACTGTTTTGCATTGCTTCGCATTGCTTTGCATTGGTTCGCATTGCCTTGCATTGCCTTGCACTGCTTCGCGTCACCTTGATTCCCCTTTTTATAACGGATTCAGGATCTAACACCACCACCCCAAGGGTTAACGGTCTGGCCTGCGGATATGCAATTTACGTATGACGCTGCCCCACCGTTCATTCTAGTTACGACTTCATGCCATCCCAGCCAAATCAGGCTCGACCTCCCTCATCCTCGTCACAGAATACTACGTTCGCACACTCGCGTATCAACAACCATATGTTGTCAAGAATCCGTTGCACCTAAACAAAATCCAAACAGCCTGGCGAAGAACCCAACCATACGCAGATGTGAATACAGTCGTTGTTAGTATCGCCTTCGGTGGAGCTCATGGAGGGGCTACGAAGCGCGTAAAGAGTGCGCCGAGATGGGGCGGGGCCGCCATGCGGGCGCTGCTACTGGGGCCTGATGTAGAGCACCCTTTATGGGGCCATCAAGCGTACAAGGGATGCGCCGAAATGAAGCGGGGACGCCATGAGGTCGCTGCCACTGGGACATTCGGTGAAGATCCCTATGGGGCCGCGAACCGTGTGAGGGGTGTGCCGAAATGGACGTGCTATGGGCGGGGAGGGTGCATGCAGACAAGGCCACTGGGGCCTTCATTGGAGCTCCCTATGGGGCCACAAACCATGTGATGGGTGTGCCGAAATGTGAATGCGGTGGGCGGGGAGCCGCATGTGGACCCTGTCATTGGGGCCTTCGGTGGAGCTCCCTATGGGGCCATGAAACGTGTAAGGGGTGTACCAGAATGGACATGAGGTGGGCGGGGAAGGGGCATGCGGACGCGACCACTGGGGCCTTCGGTAGAGCTCCCTATGGAGCCACGAACTGTGTGAGGGGTGTGCCGAAACGGGCATGCGGTGGGCGGGGACGACGCGGCCACTGGGGCCTTCGGTGGAGCTCCATATGGGGCAACGAAACGTGTGAGAGGTGTGCCGAAATTGGGCGGGGAGGACGCATGCGGACGCGGCCACTGGGGCCTTCAGTGGGGCTCCCGACAGGGCCACGAAACGTGTGAGGGGTGTGCCAGAACTGACATGCAATGGGCGAGGAAGGGGCATGCGGACGCGGACACTGGGGCATTCGGTGGAGCTCCCTATGGGCCATAAACCGTGTGAGGAGTGTGCCGAAATGGACAGGCGGAGGGCAGAGGCAAGGAGGGGGAGGAGAGGAGGAGGAGGAGGAGGAGGAGGAGGAGGAGGAGGAGAGGAGGAGGAGGAGGAGGAGGAGGAGGAGGAGGAGGGAGGAGGAGAGGAGAGGAGAGGAGAGGAGAGGAGAGGAGGAGAGGAGAGGAGAGGAGAGGAGAGGAGAGGAGAGGAGAGGAGAGGAGAGGAGAGAGAGGAGAGGAGAGGAGAGGAGAGGAGAGGAGAGGAGAAGGAGGAGAGGAGAGGAGAGGAGAGGAGAGGAGAGGAGAGGAGAGGAGAGGAGAGAGGAGAGGAGAGGAGAGGGGAGGGGGGAGGAGAGGAGAGGGGAGGAGAGGAGAGGAGAGGAGAGGAGAGAAGAGAGGAGAGGAGAGGAGAGGAACGCGGGAACCGTCTCTTCAAAACGATGACCCAACACCACAGGATGATTGGGACGAAGACAAGTCCACACGCGCGCGGCGTCGCGCGCGCATGCCGACATCTTTGGAAAAAACGGTTGGCTCCGCAAGGATTCCAAAATCGGTTGGCCCGAAACCATAATGGAAATTATCCTGGCGAAGGGCCCAACCATATGCAGTTGTGGATACCGCAGTGGTGCGTTTCCTCTTCGGTGGAGCCCCATATGGAGCCACGAAGCGAATGAAGGGTGTCCCGAGATGGGCGGCGGGGACGCATGTGAACGCAGCCGCTGAAGCCTTCGGTGGAACTCCCTGTGGGGCCACGAACTGTGTGAGGCGTGTGCCGAAATGGGGGGTCTTCGGTGGAGCTCCTTATGTGGCCACGAAACGTGTGAGTGGTGTACCGAAATTGGCTCGGGACACATGTGACCGCAACCACTGGGGCCTTCGGCGGAGCTCCCTATGGTACCAAGAAGCGTGTGAGGGGTGTGTCGACATTGGCGGTGGTGGCGTATGTGAACGCAGCTACTGAGGCCTTCGGTGGAGCTCCCTATGGGGCCACGAACCGTGCAAGGGGTGTGCCGACATTGGCGCGGGAAGCAGCCACTGGGGCATTCGATGGAGCTCCCTCTGGGGCCACGAAACACGTAAGGGGCGTGCCGAAATTGGCGCGGGACGCATGTGAACGCAGCCACTGGGGCCTTCGGTGGAATCCCACCAGCCCTCTGGGCGCAAGTGGTCTAGAGCGTTTCCGTGTCCAGACTCCTTCCGTCCCCTGCTCGGGAGGTTTATTCCCCCCCCCCCCCTCCCTGGGTCTGGACGGGCTCCCCCCCGAGGGGTTCGAGCGCCCGAGATTGCCCAAGATAACTCATGGCCTCCAAGATCGCCCACGATACCTCAAGACTGCACAAGGTAGCCTCCAACACGCATCTAAGAGGCCTCAAGACGGCCCCAAGACGGTTTCAGGTGCCCTCCGAGCCCTCCAATGACCCCCCCCCCAGAGGCCCAAATGGGTTCAAAATCTGATGAACATCCATGTTGTGTGCCTGTTCGCTTGGTCGCTTCCGATGGGCTCTTAAGGCGTCAAGATGGCCCCAAGATGGTCCAACATGGCCCCAAGAGAGGCCCAAGAGGACCCCAAGACGGCCCCAAGAGCGCCCAAGAGCACATCAAGAGCGGTCCAAAAGGGACCCAAGCCGCCCAGGTTGGACCTCCGATGGGGGGGGGCTACATTTACTACCCCCTCTTTTTGAGCGAAGGGATCCAAGACGGCCCCAAGACGCCTCCCAGGCCCCTCAAAAGAGCCCCAAGGGGGCACCAAGACTCCCCAAAAGAGCCCCAAGAGAGCTTCGAGAGAGCCCCAAGATACCCCCAAGAGAGAGCCCCAAGAGAACCCCACAGGGGAGCCCGAGAGAGCCCGCAAGATGGCCCCAAGATGTCCCCAAGAACCTCTCGCAAGAATCTCATGGGCCCCCATAGAATATAACATCCAATTCTACGACGGACTCAATTAGGAGGGGGTCGGGCCTCAGTTCATCCTCCACGCACCTCGTTCCTCCTCCTCCGCCTCCTTCCATTCCTCCTCCTCCTCCTCCTCCTCCTCCTCATCCTCCTCCTCTTCCTCCTCCTCCTCTTCCTCCTCCTCCTCCTCCTCCTCATCATCATCATCATCATCCTCCTCCTCCTCTTCTTCTTCTTCCTCCTCCTCCTCCTCCTCCTCCTCCTCCTCCTCCTCTTCCTCCT